CGTTTTAGCTCAATATGATTCAAAAGCCACAAATCCACTTGATGTAGCATTGATAAATCAGGAACAAAATTTAAAAATATTAGTTGCGCAAGAATACAAAAAGATAATTCCACTAAGTAAAAACAGATCCAAAAGAGGATTATTCAACTTTGTAGGTAACGTTGAAAAAGAATTATTCGGAATAGCCACCTCAGATGATATAGATAGTATTAAAAATAAATACGAAATACTGATAGCCAATGAAAAGAATTTAGCCAAAGAAATGAATACTAGAACATCCATGTTCTCGACTCTTGCTAATAAGACAACAATTATAATGAATCAAGTAAACAATAATCTAAATTTATTAAAAGAAAACATGCACTTTATAAAAGATGAAATAAATACAAACTTGCACAGACAAATTATAATAAATCAACTGGAATTACTTCTATATTATTTTCAACAAATTCAACAAACTATTACCTTTCTAAAAATGAAGGTAGTCGATTTGTTTTTATTAANATCACTTGTGATGGGCTAATTCAAATTAAAATTAACCTGATAATCCTATTATCGAAATTACTTGAAGAATATAATTATTTTCAGTAATTCGAACTACAATGAATAATAGATACTGAACAGCATATGTTATGGACTATTCGATCCACTAAAAGTATTGTTATGAATGAACTTTTTTTGGAATAACGATTGAATCAGGTAGTTTTGCTAGTTTCCATTAGTTGCCTTGATGACTAAAGAAAATTAATGGATACAATTGTAAATAATTACACTTATTTTTTTTTAGTGTATCTAATTCTGAATGAAATACTTATTTTCCAATTATTGGAATCATTCATAATCTGATAATCCGATTATTAAAATAATTTGATTATTCCCATCTCCAATAAACACAGCGTCCTCTATGCAAAGAATATTCGTGTAAACTACAGATCTTATCGGATATACTTCAATAGCCACTAACAAAATTGCCGTCACTTGGTATGATAATAGTTCCAACGAACAAGGCATGGGCAATATCTCAAGTAAACAAAGGGTTTTAACTAGTTGGGTATTTGAGTTCGTGCACCATATCCTCGTACATTTTTCTATACAGTACAGAAATTAATGTCAATATTCTTCAGTAGTAAAAGTTGCCTTTCTTACATTTTTGCATCGCAAATAAAATATAGAATAGGCCGAGACTGCCATGAAATTTTGCAGATGATGTTTCAAGTGATAGACTATATGTACCTTTAAAATATTGCCAGATTTTAATAAATCACCTGTATAAAAAAAAATAAAACTTAATTATTTATCTCTTTGGCTTTTACTTCAAATAAAACATATACATATAAAGCTTTTTATGATCGCTTATTCTTATAAGATCTAAAATGGGTTTTGACTGACTTGCTTTAATTGTTTATAGACATAAGTTCTAAAAGCAGATTCAGTTAAACTATAACCTTATCTAATTTTTGAGAATCTGAATATATTTTTTGTTTCAGCTACTACAACATGAGTGTCATAGTAGATCAGTTATTCCCTTCTCGTTTGGAACCAGCAAATGATTATTCTCAGAATATATACTGGCGGGACCCTATCCCCACAATTGAAGAATTACCTGAAATTGATTAGCCATGTCTGTGTAACTAGCGTATGTGCTCTGCATTTATATGAATATAGTATTTAAACATATGATGTTCATTGCTATTGCTTTCAATGTATACTTGAAATATGTTGTCAGAATTTGAATCAACAGATTTTTTGATTTTGGTAGTGAAACTGGTTTTCTGTATATGTACACCAAACAATTTTTCTTTTGCTCAATTCACGTATCTCATTAAAGCTATATATTTTTTATAAAATGCTCCATTAGTGCATCTAGTTATTATTGCAGATTATTTAAAATTATATATTGGGTACATCTAAAAATGAAAATATAATTTAAATTTCGTAAGTTTTTTGGTGTACACCTTTTATATATCACTATTCTGAATGTTGTTCCTGATGCCATAATATAAGGTACTACTGGCATTATTTTAGCTTCTACACTTAGTTTTATTTAATTGATCCGAGCCATTGGTAACGTGATAACTAAACACCAATGTGCAATTCCTTTAGTTGTATGTTATAAGTTAAGAGAATATTCTGTTCTAGTTTTTTACATGATTTTTGAAATTGATTTAGGATGTGATATTTCTGGTGATTTTTGTTTTTTTTTTTAATTCGACTATTTTTCTCAAACTATTTTGTCTATGTAAGGTACTGCATCAACTATCGCTGTAATAATTTATTAAGTATCATAATAAAAAGAATCAAAAATAAATTATGTATCTATATGCCGGTGGCTTCTTCCTTGTGATGGTCAAATGAGTTTAATTTCCAAGTGCTGATGTGGATGGCAAAGGTTGACAATAGGTATATAGCCTGTTAAAAATTCAGTGTCAGTTTTATCGATTACAGAATACTGAATTTTTGATACTTTGCTAAAGGCTAAATGAAAATTATTTTTCTATTCTATGCAATTTTACCCAATATATCGGAGATATAATTTTCTGTTCTTAATTTTTTTTTTGTTTTACGAGATGCGCAATGGTTAAATTTTTAATCTTTTATAAATTTTTTAAATTTTAATTTTTAATCTTCAATAGATACCAGTGTGAAACATTTTTTTGAAAGTGCAGTTAATCAAATACTACCAGATGCACAGGTGATTAAAGTCTCAATGTCATGCCAGAGATGCCAATGTGAATTAAAAAAAATTTGCACCAGTGGAAAAAATTTTGATATTCTACTGAAGGCGTCAATATTAACGTTTTGTGCAGTTTTGTCAAGTGCGCCGGAGAATAAATTTTCTTTCACTATTTTGCTAGATGCTGTGTTGATACAGTTTTCCATATTTTGCCAACGACTGTAACCTGTCGCCTTAAACAAGATGGACCTCAATGTGCGGAGTTCTTTTGGAATTTAATAACAAATTGTTTTCTGTTAAAATATCTAATATAACTTCTAACAGTCAACACTGGACAAGAAATAAAACGATTGTCTCAGTTCTTACAGACACGTAATAAATACCTTCTTCGTCTTTCCCTCTGATTAATGATCGCTAATTAGACAACAGACCTGTCTATTGATAGTTACTGCACCACTGCAACTTGGTTTCCAGCGATGAAAAATGTTGAAATTCAGTTATATGCACTGTCTTCAAAAGCCAGGCAACCACCAACTCCCTTCACTTCGTCACCATTGATCTATACTATCTCCCTCCACTAATCACATGCAGTTGCCAACACGGATTTTTTACATTGTACACATCGACAAAGATACACATACAAGGTGGGCGCCAATATTTTTTTTTCCAATTAATATGCAGATGATAAAATATCAGTTGAGAGGGTTCTATAGAAATAGTCAATCAGCAATACATTTTTATAGATTTTATTACACAGTTTGTCTAAATATGAATCAATGCACAAATCACAGATTCTATTCATTCTAAAGCAGATTTTCTATAAAAATGGAATTAGTTGGAAACTCAAATTGCTTTTTGTTGTAAAAAAAAATTTTAGTTTGCCGCTTTTGTACACACGGCATCCTAAATTACAAATTTCTTTACACAAAAAGTTATTAGAGTTTCAAGCTAACTCCATTTTATAGAAAATTTGTGTTAAAATGGGTGAAAATCTGTTATTTGTGCATTAATTCATATTTAGACAAACTGTAATAAAAATCTATAAAAATGTATTACTGGTTGCCTATTTACTACAGAGCTCTCTTGATAGAAAATTTCCGCTGTTATCAACAGCAACAATTTTCGATATTTTGTCGAAGACGCCAGTGATAAAATTTTCATTATATTTGCCATATGCAGCAATGTGAGTAATAAAAAGAAAACGATATTTTGATGTATGCATATAATTTATTTTGTATTACACAATATATTGGGTTAGTTCAGGGGTATTCAAACTGTGTTTTGCGGAACCCTGTAGTTCCTCATCACCCACCTCTGGGGGGGGCTCCGCGACTTAAAAATTAAAAATTTTGAAATTAACAATGTTGATACTACAAAATTCAAAAAAATGTATACCATTACTTAAATTTTTTAGTTTTATAAATACATTCATATAAGAGCTTAAGACGTATGTAGTGACAAAAAGTATTGCAATGCGCTTAATGCAGAATTTGAAGTGTGATTGCAACTTACGTGTTACAATAGCACCATACTATGTAAAAATATTCAAGCACATCCAGTCATTGATTATAACAGGCTGTTACAAATTCCCTTCTCACTACAGGGATCTCAGAAACGGTAAGAGCTAGAAAGTAGCTTAAATGGGGGCAAAGTTGCGTAATCAGGGTAAAGTTTAAATAACTAGATGGATTTCACAGGATCTAACGACACTTACAGTGTACGATAATTCAATAAACAAAGAAATCTAAATAAAAAATTTAGGAAAATTTGGAAAATATATTGAAGATGGATTTTTTAAGCCAAAACGTCTGAATCTGGTTAGGGCTGAGGCAGTCAGTATTGGGGGTCAAGAAGGCTTGCAAAAAATGTAATAAAATTTTGAAGGTCATATTTAAAAAAATGAAGTGGATAATGGTCCTAGAGACGAAACGTTACATATAAAAATTGATTATGCCATTCGATAGAGGGCAAAAAGTGGCCATGAGTGTTCTTCATTTTTCAATATCTCCTCAAACAAGGCTGAAATTAAACAAAAATGGATTTCCAAAATTTTTTTTTTCTCCAAATATTTTGTAAACTAATCATGTTAGCCTTGATTTTTTAGAGGCATATTGTTGGTCCCCCGACTCTTTTCTTCAATTATCCAATAAATATTTACATTTAGTCTTAATTTAATTTTTACTTAGAATTGTAGTACTTAGATATATTTTATACCGTGTTCAAAAATTTTGATAGTTGTGGAGGTTCCTCAAAAAAATCGAAATATTGGCCGGGTTGCGCAAGTCGTAAAAGTTTGAAGACCGCTGGGTTAGTTCAAGAAACGAAAGTTTTTAAAATGCCTTTATTTAATTTGATTTATAACACAGCTGCAGTCAGTTACAATAAATCTACATGAGAATGCAATATAGAATACAATAAGGGTTAAGATATGGGTTGTAATCATTAAAATCCAACAAATATTTAATTAAGAGCAGTAGAGGTAAGTAGAGCCACACCGCGTTCATAAAAGCTATGAGGATCCTGGCCTGGTGCTATATTCAATTCTATTGTATAAAGTAATTCTGTACGTGTTGAGTTTAGGTACAAAGGCAAAGACAGTTTGCCCTCTTTCGGTTTCTCATCACCTGTAACTCTCACCCACCGGAAGAGGGTTATGGGTAGTTCCAACATAATGCTGGAGGTTAACAGAAGCTGATTGTTGCGACATTGAGCTCCTTGCAATTTTATTCCTAAAAGGATGAAATATTGTGTTTAAATAACCACTGTATAAAACATTATTTAATGATTTAAAAAACTTATCAAATAATGAAGACTTACCAACAACAGCAAAACAATCGCTTGGGATAGAGGCTTTATCATTAGAATCGGTAATCGTTACATCCAAATGGAGTTCTTCCAAGGGCCAACTGTTTGCCTGTGCAACACATTGTCTTGTTGCAGTTATATAAGCTTCGGGATTCAACAATCCACCCAACCAGACAGGGAAGCTCTGGAAAATGATAAAAAAATGAAATGGCAACATTTTTTCTCTTAAAATAAAAAGTATACTCATTTCTATCATTTATACAAGGTGAATCTAAAATGTGTATATACACCATAAACATCAGTAGTGTTTCTTTTTGCATAAAAAAAATTTGAGTAGTCAAATTTAAATCGCGCACATGATTTTTAAATAGAAAGTAAATGAGAATAGTTGGGGGGCAAGATAAGAGAAAGGTAGAAATAGGTAGTGTATAATTTTTTTTTTAATATTTTTAATAAAACCTTTTTAATACATGAAAAACAAAAAATTATAAATAGGTAACTAAAAAAATAAGGAAATTGAACGAAAATTAGGTAAATTCTCCGATTTTTTGAAAATTTGTCGACCACTTATTATTAAGTCTTCATGGTTGTCAAAAATAAGCTAAAAATTAAAAACGTTTTTCATTCCCCCCCTATATAAAATTGGTGCGTTACTAGTATTTTCTTAGCTTAAGAATATTTTTGGACCTTTTTTGAATTTCTAGGGGGTGGAGCTGCCCCTTTGGCGACGCCCTTGCTTCAATGAGGTATTTAAAATATTAGACATGGAATTATTCTGCTCTTAAACATTCATCATTTGTGTATCTATTTTTTAAACTAATTTTTAATGTGCTGTAGTGAGAGGTTACATCTTTACTATGAAAGTGTGGTATTTACTTTTGTTGTGTACATGTCGATGAGAAGATTATGATGACTCCAGCTGGCAGGTTAACTAAATGTGTTTTGAAGTAACTGTTAAAGTACCTCATTCAGGATTGCTATTTTTTACTTAACCACAACTAGTACAAACTTCCAAGTTTCGTTTTGCTGACTTCCTTAATATTTCTACGAAGCATTTTTTGACATGTAAACTCGCCATAGTCATTGAGCCACGTCATTGGAAGGTGCCTTAATAAATCTAATATCAAATACATAATTATACTTTTGAGGTAAAAAACTATCGAAGCTATTTCAAAAGTAAAGTTATATCTTAAATTGCTCTAAACTTCCAGTCTGGTCCGTTTACCGTGCCTTGGGGATTGGCCCTTAACGTAATGAAATAGTGGTAGTTATGTGATATCATCATTACTCACCCAGCCCATAATTATATATTTTTCATGGTTACACATACAAATATGCATAATGTAATGAGTTACGGAAGCATTAGCGTCCTTATCTAAAATAAATATTTGGATAATCGATTTATATAAATAGCCCCGATTTTTTATATAATTTAGTTCTAATTTGAATGTACTCTTGAATGTATTACTGTTCAGCTGTAAACAAATAAATAAGTTATAATTCCGAAGTGTTTTAACTAACAAGAACCTGAAACACGACATTGGTTATTTAACTGGCGCAGTCGGTAGGATCATCCAGTATATTAAAGAAGCCACATATCCCGGATCGACCGACGATTTCTTCAATATACTTCAGTCTCAACTGTTAAGGGTGATCAACAAATCAGCACGAACTACACACCGCTCAAGTAAGTCACAGCCAAATTCCTTTTTCATAATTCCCTGCCTTAGGAAATTCATAATTGGTATTTTTGGTAAAATTAGAACTCACTACCGATAAATTAATTAAACTTTGATTGTTTCTCAAAGGATTGATTTCTTTTAAGGTAAAATAACTTGACTGTATATCAAGTTTTAGGATTAAAACTATATGAACGATTTACTCCGCGAATTGGATCAGATAGAAATAAATATGGCTACTAATTACCAATTATTAAAAATGTTTATAGATGTGATTCCAACATTTTCTGGAACACCATCAGTGTTAAATGATTTTTTAGCCGCCTGTGATGAACTCGTTACATCTTACTATACGGAAAATAACGAGATTCAAAATAAATTCATTTTAAGAGCAATCAAAAGCAAATTAACGGGACAAGCTCAAACAAATGTTTCTACCCGTCTCGAACTCAACAATTGGGAACAGATTAGAAATCTATTGATCGAAACATTTGGAGATCCACGTGATCTACCTACCTTACAACAAGATCTTATACACCTTGTCTTTGATGCAAGAGCAGAAACTCTTATTGGCTTTAGTAATCGTATTTTACAACATCAATCATTACTCATGTCGAAACTAAAACAATCTGGTGAAAGCATAGAGGTTAAGCGAGCACTAAGTATTGTTTATAATAAATTAAGCTTAGACACTTATGTTAGTAATTTACCGACATATTTACAACAAATGGTCCGTACTAAGGAAATAAACGATCTAAACGAAGCAGTAACATTTATTACAAAAGAACAACAATTTCAGTCTTATCAAAGATCACTTAAACAAACCCAACAACACCAATCACCTTTACAATCTTATTCACACCAAAAACAACANTTCCGAAGTGTTTTAACTAACAAGAACCTGAAACACGACATTGGTTATTTAACTTGGTGTGGTTGATAAGATGATAAATTTAAATTGCTGAAAATAGACAAACTTTTTTCTAGATGACTAAAAATATTTCAGAAAATTTCTCTTATTTCTCTGCTTTCCCCAGAGAGCAATTTTAACTCTTAAGATAATATTTAACTTGGAATTAATTTTTTAATCATTTTTCTTTATCGCAGTTAAAATTTGGATCAAAATCCATCACAAAATCCGCATTAAAGTGAAATTTAACCTTTAGTATGAAACTAAAAGATTGGGATCTTATTGTTCTTGACTTATGACTTGGCAACCTCAAAATTCCTTAGTAAGCATACAAAAATCCATGTGCACCTTCCATGGACAGCGATTCTCAAAATTTACATAAATAGATACATTTTAAATCAAATATCCGGAAATATTATTCGTAATTTTGAAAAATAAATCACTGGACTCATTTACATCGCGTGTTACATCTGCATTTAAAATATATGTACGCCGTTAAATTCTACTCTGTGTAAGGTTTAAATTTAAGAATATTTTAACATTTTCTTAGACATTTCAACGTAAGATCACATATTCAATAATTTACCTGTAACTCTTTTGCTCCAGCATTAGACACCAACTGTGAAACTTGCTGAAGTTGTTTCACTCGCTGACTGAAATCTGTAATCCACTGGATAACGGTGCAACCTTTCGGAACCGTATAACGATGCCAATTCACTGGTATTATTCCACGAACTAATTCGCCAAGCATGGTACGATGATAATTGGTTTGTTTCTTCTCTCCCTGTAAGAAAATTAGTAAACATCCGTTTCTCATAAGTTTGGGTACATTTCCCTTACCTGACAAATTAATAAAACGTCATTAAGGTCGTGCAACACATCTTGTAATAACCTCGAAGCCGAATTAACTTCCCTCTCAAAGTATCTATACAATGGATCTTTGATATTTTCGACAGTTCTTCTCAACGTCTGTAGTGAAGTAGGTAGCAATTTCATCCAAGTAACAGCACTGTTATGTAACGTTTTCATCCAGGACGGTCTGCCGTCTATTTGAGCTGCATCCGTGGGAGAATTATCGTCAACGGAATATGCAAGTTCGTCATCGTCCTCTAACTGTTGCATCTTAAGTAACTTGCTGATCAAGTCAGTTCCTCTGGTTGTCAATAGCACCTTTTCAGCGTTATTCGGTAAACCTAAAATATAAAATCGGTGATTTAATCCATAAAAATTTAATTTTTTATCAAATAACTTACCTAACCAAGCTGGAGTTTGGCGATCCGACAAACTTTCGATCCACTTCAAGAAGTGATCCCTTCTTGTACCGTCAGGCATTGTGATGTGACGGTTTCCACCAGGACCATTGTCTATATTTGCAACCAAGGCAAAGTCACCTTCAAAACTCTTGGGCGTGAAAAGTTTGTTCAAGAAGGAATGTAGAAGCCTCTGGTCAAAATCGTTATCGATTTTACCACCATAGATGGACTGAGAGAGAAGCGTTACTAGGGCATCCCATGGAACTTTTTCTGGGGGCAAATTCGTACGACCCTAAAAGAAAATATCAGTTTATATAAGAATTATAACTATTATAGATCAAAAGCAATTTTATGCAGATGTTCTGTTAGATTTACCATTGCTGTGGCATCGATCCATGTGTCCAATGTATCGCAAGCAACTCGTAAATCTGACTCGCTAAATTCGTAATATTTCGCCCAACCCAGTGGACAGTAACGCAGCCTTTCCTGGACAATGGCGTGGAACCAGGCAAGAAGGAAGTACAGTCTAGCCCTTTCACTTGGTGCCTTCATCATCCTACTTGCCGGCACCTAAAATTATAATTTAATGTTAGTCAATTAAAAACGTTACAATCTGACAAACTTACAGTGCTGAATGTTCTCAACAAGTTAGCTCTTATACCCGGTGGAGGTTCAAACATGAAGATCCTTCCTGCCCTCAACAGATTAACAGGAAGTTTTGGGTTAATTTCCATAGTGAGAAACAGGCGGAAGTTGGCATGTGGTTGAAGTGAATGAAGTTTCTTTTCCAGCTGTACTAACCATTGCGGTGCCAAGTGCACATTCTTAAGCATAACCCACCTAAAAAGCATATTTTATCTTAACAGACTGTATTCTGTATTAATTCTGTATTCAGTCAAAAAATCAAAATCAAATCGCAATTTTCATTATTTGTTAATCTGTATTTTGCGTCTTATCTGCAATTTGTAATGTGCCGTTCATTTCCCATAGTGTTCCAATATGCTCAACCCGCACATGTATACTTGGAATGTTCTATTGTTGTTACAGACGACTATTCAAGAGATTAAATGGCGAGTGTAAAATAGCAAAAAAAGTGAAATACGACAGGAAAAAAAATTGAAATTGACAACACTTAATATGCAGTCTGTAGAAAGATTCACCGATATTTAAATTGGTAAAGATAATCTAATTTTTACAAAAATCGACATAACGCTTTACAAAATGATACATCCAAGGAATTGCCTCCCTACAGTTTTATCTGTTGCCACGGGCATACATGTTGAAAATTAATAGTTTTTAATTATATTGGTGCAGGAGTAAAAGTTAGAAATCATTAAAAAATTTAGCAGCCATACATTATTTATCTTATATTGATGATCAATTTGAATTCTCAAAATACAGCGATTAGTGAATTTGTGTTTTTAAATCTACACGTTAAATTCATATCACTGAACACGAAATACAATCTGCTGATATCTTATGTATAATTTACAGTCAATTGTCAACATGTTTTTATAACTGACCATAAGTATAGATTAAAAATAAAATTAATTTACCTGCCGGTCTTGCAAGCCATATTGATAGCTCTATCGGCTTGATTGAAACCTTCGGCTGAACCAATGGCAATACTGGAAATCTGCTTATTGAGCTCAGCAGCTAGATCATCGACACGACTGGAAGCATCAAAGCCTGGTACAGAACACAGTAGAGCTGGAACATTTGATCGAATTTCCCTCTCAACACAGAATGCTAGGTCGAGTTCCTTTTCGGCTTGATACATGAAGTCCGCCCCAAGAGCAGAAGACACGAAATTGTGAGCAGCCGCTATAACCCTGTCAGGTCTAAACGCTTGAATGACAAGTAACTGGTACATGGCGGTACCAATAGGACTGAGCTGTTTCTCTTCAATCCACAACTGAGGAACTGCTTGTTCCGGAGTGCCCTGTTGCAGCCAGGCACCGAATTCGGGCATCTCTTTGATTTTTTCAGACAGTTTTTTGAACGCAGGCAAGCGTAAAGTAAGTCTAGTTATAGCTTCTTGCTGTTCACTCGTCAAACCGTCAACTATAGGACCTGTTGAACTGCTGAATAAACCCTCTTTTCCACGAAGGAAGAAGTTAAATTCTTGATCCAGATTAGGCTCGGACGAAACACCCTTAAGATGGATTCGGCACAAGAGAATGGCAAATGTTAGACGATCGTTGTGGAGCATACCTCGTGCAACTCTTTCATATACCACCTAGAAATTACATTATATTCATATATCACTTTGTATTCCAAAAGGTGGAGTTTATAGTGCCAATTCATCATACTAGAAACAATCCGAACACATAAGTAAAGAGCATCAGCTTCTCGCACCTACATACATATGTTTAACAAAAAAATGTGATTTCGATTTTAGCCACCAACAACTAAAATGTATAATTGATGATTGCAGTAACAAAACCGATAGTATCTTTTTACTTTTATACACTACCTTTTTTTCAGAGCTGTAGTGATAAGCAGAGCGGACAATTTGTGACTTTAACCTTGAACATAGATATGTCATTCATAAACCTAGATACATTACCCATGACGCAGTGGCGTGTCGGGTATGCATCGGAAATTTACGTGATAATTCACGAAAATTCCACGGTACATACATTTTTAGGCATTATAAAATATTTAGAAAATCAGAAATTGTATACTACATATTTATTAAATAAAGTTTGGTTAAAAATAGTGTCGTTCTTTTAATTGGAAATTAGGAGTCAATGTAACGAATATCCTCAGGCGACGCACATGATAGAATAGTCCAACTCACGTTCCATTCATAACAGGGCTGCAGTTTGAATTCTGACCAATAGGAATTCGATAAACGCAACCGATGTCGACGGATAGACTAGAGATGGGCGCGAGTGTCATTTCATTTCTTTAGAACTAAATTAACTTAATTATTTTCTCGTTATTTAACCTGTTCACATGATTTATGGATTTTATATAAAGGGTACAAATCTTCGCGAGGATAATAAGATATATTTGCTATACATAATATAATAATTATATTTTGCATAGTTTATACACAATACATTTTTGAACGCATACACATCTCTACCAAAATTTGACCTATTCTTCGGGTTAAAGTCACACATTGTCCGCTCTCTAGTGATAAGTGTTCTTTCATTACTTCATTGAAGCTTAATTTTCTTTAGAAAACGAAAAGATATAACTTTTTAATTCGAAACTTTTTAATTCTGTACATTCTTAAGAGAGTTTTAAATTTTATTCATTATAAACTCCACACCCTGTATAAGAAAATATTCTTAAATATGGAAAAGGAAAATATTCCACTTATATGTTACAGTATTTGAAAAACGACAATTAAGAGCAAAATACTTTGTTGACTTGCCGAGAATAAATCTGATGTAATAACGTTCAATCTGGCTTGGTAATCAGAAACATCATCAAGTTTGGAATTATTGTGCAGGACGCTGCTGAACATGTCCAGGAACATTTTAAGTGAGTACTGGTAGAGGAAATGTACTTGGTTGAGGCTGTCCATTGTAAAGTAGGTATTACTACACGCTTGAGAAAGAGGCAGATACTGTTGGGAAACCGCTTCGATCTCAGATATAACTTTATCCGTTTCCTCAACCTTTTGACCAATTTCAGCCGCTTCACGTTTGAGTGTCTCAAGTGTGGTAATAACACTGTCGTCATCTAAGATTTTACCCTTCGCGTCGTTCAATGCTTGCAGTAAAGACTTTTCCAATTGTCTCAACCTCAAATGGAACTCCCCTTGAAGTTTTAACAGATCTGAACGTTTTGCGTCGATATCGGGTCTCTCAGCCTTCAATACTTGGTTCAGGCACTGGCTTTGCAACGAGCTTCTGGTAACGGTGAAGTTAACGAATGTAACTCGAGAGCAAATATCTGGAGGAAATTCTACAGTAGGATCACGAGTGGACAAGAAAATAACGAAAGAAGGTGACAAATCAATATCTTGATCTCCCAAAGTAATCAAAACACGACCGCCTGTTCGTCTCAGTTCTCTGTTCAACACAGGATTCAGAATGGCGTCATAATTTTCAACATCTTGTACGAGGAGCGGATTACCAAAACGTAAAGCAGATTCCAGGTTTTTACGGAACGAATCATCAAGGAAACTGGTCTTAGTAATCTTCTTGTCTTTAAATTCGTTCATAATGAACTCAGTAGCTTGTCCAGAAGGATCGATAATGAGTGGATACCTATTGAATCTCTTCAACATTATGGCATTCTCAGTACATAAATCATCGGAAGGCAAAGCATTAGCCTGCCATCTAAGACGTTCATCGGGATTGGAAAGATATTCGGTTCGAGCTATGTCAGGTCTGTACTGTATGGCGGCTTGGGTCAAATGCTGACACCACGTGGTGAATAAACTTTGCCTGTAGTGCTGATCAAAGTAACCACCATAAGCTATAAAAGCTGCTGAGAGGAGTACGTCTCCTACGATCGTAGACATCTGAGACCTGAACGTTTCACTGGTAGCCTCCCATCTTTCCCTTTCTATAACCAGGGATTTCAACAATGCGATCGACCTATCGACTTTAGCCTGAACATTTTCCAAGTCAGTTTTTATAGCCTGTGCCTGAGAAATAAGTTGGGCATATTCTTCTTTGTATGAAGCTATACTTTGCTCAAGTTGGCTAATGAGGTTCTTAACTTCCTCGCCTCGCTTTTTGTTAGTTTCAGCTTGTTTCTCAAGTGAATTAAGTTCTTCTCGCAAAGGTTCCACTTTCTTCAGCATATCGGCATACTGAATTTGTGCCATAGCCCATTTTACTAATGGACCACAAGCATTACTGGCATGATTTACTTTCTCGAAATTATAATCGGGATTACTCAGATAACGGCTCTTCATTTTTTCACGTACATCATCGCTGGAATATAAGAATTTTTTAAGGAAATGTGTTTTCATAAAATCCAACAATATTCAGACTATTTTAAAATTGTAAATTTTAAAGTAAATCCACCACTACTCTATTAATATGGAGATGTGTTATAGACACTAACATGCTTAAAAAAAAAGTATGGAAACTAAACTAAAAAATATATACAATATACAAGCCTAATCATGCATACCTAATGTCTTCTGTATTGAAATTGTTGACGACAGTATTGATGAAATTATCACGCATGATGACTGTACGAATTGACTTCCAATCACTTGCATTTTCACCAAGCAACAAGCAAATAGACTCTAAGGCCAATTTAACCACAGCGGGAGGATTTGCCATTGTACGGATTTCAACCAACTGTTGTTTTTTGATAGATTTTACGGCTGTGTGGATAAAAATAATGCAGGGTTAAAATAAAAAATAAACTGTGTAGATCTGTAATGAAACACTAAATACATGTAATATTTACAATTTAAAAATGGAAAAATTATTAAAATAAGTTGTTAAACTTGAAAAATTTTACTAGATAAAAGAAATTATTTTTCTTATTTCTTTTTTATTGTAATTTTTACTTTTTCTATTTGTTAGATTATAAATATTTTTGAAAATAACTATTAAAACTCGTTAATATAATGTATATTAGCTTGTTTAAAAGATATCTATTCATTGCGATCATATGGTGTAGATTAAAATGTATCTGTAAGCAAAAAATAAAAATAACATCATGCTCTGTCAGCCGTCAGCCAGGGAAAAGAACACTGAAATATGATACAAGACGGCTGGAATCAGCCTTACGTTAAGTTCTCGCTGCCAAAGTTAACAATAGTCGCAATGAAGTTCTCCCGCATTATAACTGATCGAATGGAACGCCATTCACTGGCATTCTCGTGTAGAAGCAGGCACACCGACTCCAGTGCCATTTTAACGCTGTGCGGAGGATTGGCCATCGATCGAACTTCCACCAGGTGTTGCTTCTTTATCGATTTAACAGCTAATAGTTCATAAAAAAGTTTATATATAAAAAATTTTGTATTCTCTGATCAGCACTCTACATGTACCTAAAATTAGTGATAATGAATAATTCCTATAATTTACAAATGCAAACAACCTATTAATTAATCTGAATTAGGTAATGCACATACCTTACTAATTAATTATTGAGATTATGAGACCTTAATACCAAAAAAAAAAAACGTTATATTTATCTAAATGAAGTTTAATTTCCAGTTTGGAAACAAATTCAATTTATTACATACTAAAAAACCTTTTAATTAAAAAAATAGATCAAAAGTAAACTAGTCGTTTGCAGTAAAACTAACTGAAATCGGTGTTTATTTTTAGAGGTGTAATAATTTTGTCTAGAAGTTTATTAAAGATCGTTTAAAAATCTTTCAAAAAGTCGGTGTTTTAACTCTTAAAATGAGATAAAAGTTACCAATTTTGCAACATACTTAAAGAAAATTTATTTTATATAATTGCAAGCATTAGAATCTGCGAATCATCTTTACCTTGATATACGGGGTGTCCCAGACCACGCGTCCACCCCTTGTAAATTCCAAAGTACATGGTTCTGTCAAAAATGGTTAAGATGAAAGTTACTGGGTCTCCAAGGGTCACATATTTTCGTGACCTTGAAGGCCATTGTCAAGGTCATTTCAAGGTCAATCTAGTTTATTTAAATGGGAACCATTATTTTCAACGGGTAACTTCAAAATTTTGCAACATTTATCTGCCACATTTTTCGCTAAACCTTAACTTTGCGGGGTCATTTGGGTGAAAAGATTCAATAAAAAAAAATGACCTTCACGTGACCTTGTCAACCCCGCTCTTTCCAAATCCGGGGTTGAATTTAAAAGTTCCCATTTAAAAAAACTAAGTTGACTGAAAATTACCTTCAAGGTCACATACAAGGTCACGACAATATGTGTATCTTGCCAACTTTTATCTGAACCATTTACAATAATAATTACTTAATCGGAATGGAAAAGGTAGTTGCAAAATACGTTCCTAAAATATCAAATGTGTTTTTTCATGAAAGCAGGTAATGTTATTGATTTGGAATAAAAGGGCCGTTTTGTTAATATATTCAAGAGGGCTCTATATTCATAGATTTTTATTACAGTTTGTCTAATTTGAATTAATGCACAAATAAGACTTTCCCACATTTTATCGCAGATTTTCTCCAAAAAATTGACTTGGTTTGAAATTCAAATTACTTTTTGGTGTAAAGAAATTTGTGATTTACGATACCGCTTGTTCAAAAGCGGCAAATTACTAATTTCTTTACAACAAAAAGTAATTTGAGTTTCAAACTAACTCCATTTTATAGAAAATCTGCGTTAAAATGGGGGAAAATCTGTTATTTATGCATTAATTCATATTGAGACAAGTGTGTAATACAATGTATAAAAATGTATTGCTGGCTGCCGATTTGCTACAGAGCGTCATTTTGTTAAAAAAACTAAGGCCTGATAGCTAGGCACCCTTACACTCAGTCTTAGACAAATCCTAGTTTAACTTTTTGAAAAAGCCGAAGTAAAAAAATTATGATCAATTTTCTCGTTAATAAAGACCTTTAGGGCCTTCATGAATTTAGAATTTTGATACTTTTTTCCACCGTTCAGTTTGTTACTAAGTGTAGAATAAAAATAATTGACAAAAAAATCTTTAGTGAAAAATAAATCATTACTAAAAATAAATTTAAAAAAATAACTTCAAAATTATGTTAACTTTGTTACATATTAATTTTTCAAAAAAGTACCGTTGGAAAAATAATTATATTTATGAGTAGAACACCTTCTCATAGGTACCAAAACTCTGCATTTGACTCTTTTCATGCCACATTTTTTAGCCCATCATAAATTCATAAAAAGAATAAATATTGGACTCACCAGTCTGTGCATCAATAACAGCAGGTTCCACCTGCTCCAAATCAGCCATGACCTCCGAACGTTTCTGTTCGATGTGCACCGTCTGTTCCGCCAGCTGCTGCTGAATCTCCTGACTCTGCACCTTCTTCTTTTCCGCCTCCTGTTGGTCTTTCACCATCTGTTTCAATTTCGCGTTCGCAGCCTCGTTCTTCGCTTGCAATTCCTGTGACTTCACGGCCAGACTCTTCTGCATTTCCTCGACTTGTTCCACGGTTTCCGCGATCTTGCTCAAACCAACGTTCAAGTGCAACTGCTGTTCTTCCAAATCAGAACGCTTTTCGTTGTGCAGTTTAACGAAGTGGTGGATGAAGTCCAGATAGTGTCTTGGGGTGATTGCCATGGTACGTCCGCCCCTCTTGGCGAGGCGGCTGTTGGCTTTGTGGAGGGTTTGGTGAACATACACGCAAGCGTTGATGACGGCTTCCCTGTGGCTCGGTGTGGCGGGTATACGGGTGCACGAAGCAGGGAAGAAATCTGGACATTTCCATGTCGGTTTCTCCAGATCCAATCGGTTTGTAAATTCTTTTCCAACCTATAAATATATATGAAATCGATTCAGTCTTTCACTGAATGTATCAATAAAACGTACCTGGAACAATGCACCGTCGGACCAATCTCCGAACCAGTTGAGAACGCATCTGTTGAACAGAGCAGGAGAAGTAGCAGCTCGATCTTTCAGTCCATCAGTAGATGGATTCATCGTGAAGACTACGTGCAAGTTACGCATTACTTGCTGTGTAAACCATTTGTAAAGCTCGTCATTCGAGTCCAACATTAAACCTAAATGAAACAATTTGTGGCATCAGCAAACTAAATTATTGTACAGTTTTACAAAAAAAGTAGACCAACCTATGAACTACGAATTCTTTGAACAAAATTAATTATTTTACTTTTGCCTTCGGATGGTTCAGAATGGTTCCGAATCAGGTTTGAATAAAACATCTGTGAAATTTTGAACCATTCAAAGTAAACTTGAATATGTATTTCAAACTGCGCATGATTAAAAACGGTTCGGAATCAGATTAAATTGGATCCCGAAGAAAGTTTTACGGTTGTAACCAATACTAGCGGACATCGAGTACTCAAACAAAATTTTTATTTTGTACTCGGATACCCGTTGGTATCCTTAGTTTAACAGCATGATCTACTTTTATTTAACGTGTCTATTTTTTTTATTTTCATCCGACAGTTAAAAATGTGTTAAAAAATATTCACCTTCTCTTTGGGCGCCCTCCTTGCATTGCGTCATAAGAGTCGTATACTCATCTCCTTCAAACAATCCAGGTACTTCGCCGTTAGCCAGCAGAGTATTCATCCTTTCCAAGAAGCTGGAGTCTAACATGTTCGATTCATCCAGAATGAAGGCAATTTTTTCATCTTTGCAACCACTTCTACGCAACACCGATCGTAGATCTTCATCGAAATCTTCAGCAGTATATTTATTGTGGACTTTGATTTGGAATATCGAGAGACCATTCATCCAAGCGACGAATCTAGACAGAGTAGTCTTTCCAGCTCCTGACACACCAATGAGCAACAAGTGTCCTTGAGGTTGCCTGAAGATTCTGTCGATTCTCAGTACGTGGTCTAAGACTTCATCGAATAATACAAGGGGAACATCGAGTTCTTCTTCATAGAATACCTTCAATCTTGCCTTGACGTATTCTCTGAGCTGTTCTCTTTCAACTGGAACGTAATCTTTGGATAACCAGTTACTGTAAAGAATAGGTCTTTCCAAAGCTTTCTCGCAATTAGCTGATGGGAAATGCTTCAATGCAACAGCGTCGATGTTTTCGTTGGTCCATCGTCGTTCAGAATCTTCCACGAGTCTGTCTTGGAAGAGACGCAGGGCTTCGTGAGCCCAGAGTCGGACTAAACCCTCTACTGCGAGGTTGTCCAAAGGTCTAAAAAAGACAAATTGTGTGATTGAAATTTTAATTCAACAAAAGTGTTTGATACAAAATACTGCAAAATAGTTAAAAGATAAATTGTGTCAAATGAGTATAACCTGAGTAACCATGTAATGGAAATCGTGAGTGTTTTTATTTTCATCGTAACTGATAATATAAGAAGTATTAAACTTAAAACATATTTTCAGTATCTTAAAATACATAAATTTTATAAATACAATTAAAAAAAAACATGATTATCCATCTTAATTTATTTATAATTAGGGATACGTAATTTTCGCAAAAAAAAATCCAATTTCGCAAAAGTAATAAGCGAACATTGCTGTTGTTTCTACATTCTCTTCCAAGAGCCTGGTCCTTCTGATTGTGATGACAATGTTGTAGATGCTGAAAAATCGCTCCGCATCAACACTATTTACAGGACTCCATAAACTTTGAATTGTCGCTTATGCAAAATTTAGATGAATGTATTTAGTTGCCCATAAAACCTGAAGAACATCAGAAGTGTCTGTTTTATCTGCTTCAGCTAAGAGTTGTCGATGAAAGCGACTGTATCCGTCTATAAGCTCATCTTGCGGGATATTTTTTAAAAACGGAATTTTGGAAAAACTAATGTCTAAGAAATCTTTCCTGAGCAACTGTGTAACAATAGCTATAGAGGGACAAAACAGCGTACCAATGTGTTGGTAAGCATCGTTCATTTCATTAGACTTCACGTGATGGATTAATTTATTCAAGATTTTACCAGAAGCGCATCGCTTCACGTTTATTTCCATATTTCGCATTTATTCACATTTTTTCCGTAATTTCGCATTTATTCGCACTTTACGAAATCATGAATCAAAAATTATGTATCCCCAATTATAATTAAGAAATAGTTTTTTCTAAATACGAACCAATTTGAACACTTTGAACATTTCCATAGCAATCTGCAATTTTTATTATAGAGGCAAATAAAAAGATGTCACACTGTAATTTTTATTACACTGAAATATCGTATGCCCTACGTGGAAAATACAGAAGAGATAAGAATAATTGAGATTGCGTAAATTAGCAAACTAACTGAAAGCGAATCAGGGCAGTTGTCAACGTCGATCATCTGAGGTGTGGTCCCTGACTGTAAGTTTAGTTACGCGACTTTGCGGTATACTGTTTTGACATGTAGATTTTTCACGGGCTGTGCGTTCGGACCCAGAATTGAAATATAAGTCGCTTTTGGGACTAACGAACCGCGACAACAAAAGTTTTTAAGATGCATATTTTCGGATAGAAGAAAAATATTCAGATATGTAACAAAAACAATTTGATAACACAATGCGATGACATGACCCCAACATAAGGCGAACATGCAACTACTTATTTTATTGGCAAATGAAATTGTACTAACACTTGTCAAATTTAAAACGTCAAATCTAGCGAAGTTACAAATTTTGTCATTATGAAAGCTGCCATCAAATTGTAAATCTGCACAATTTACATATACAAATACGGATACTCAATTATTTAATCTAGTCCTTACCTTATGGCCTCGCAAATTCCTCTAACCCATCTGGTCATTTCACGAGGAGAGTAAACGTAATGAGGCTGCATGTCTTGCGTGAATCGATCTTGGGAAGCCAAATAGAACTCAACCATGGCATTGGTCAAAGGTTCCGCATATCCCTTCAAACCGGGAGCCAATCTCAACATCGCCCTGGTAAATGTTCCATAAATCTGTTTCAATGACGTCTCACCCGGATAATCTACATAAATTACTGGGACATGTCTTAAGAATCTGTGCGAGAGTGGTTTTCTGCCTGGATCGGTGGGAGGATTACAGGCACCGACAAACTGAATGCGTTCCAGCGTTACCCAAGTCTGGTCTGAAGCACGGTAGAAACCTTTTTGTTCAACGATTTGACGTAAGAACATGATTACACGTTGTGTGCCATAGTTGTCCATATCGGGCAAATTTATTTCATCACAGAATAGAACTAACCATTTGCCAAGCTGAAAGGATACATTTGTTAAGTTTTTAAATAACATTCCATGATTTATATTCCTACCTGAATCGGGGCCAAAATAACACCATTTGGAGTTTTTCTATATTCACAGTAGTGATCGAATGTTTTTAACAGCAATTCTGGAGTAGTAGCCGAGGAGAAGTTCAATCCAACAACTTCCATATCTGGCAAGGCTCTCAGTGCAGAGAACAAGGTCATTGTTTTACCAGAACCAGGCGGACCACAGAGTACTACAAAAGATATATTGATTCTTCTTGATTACTGTTTCGTACTAAGTAAAATTATTAAATATGGAAAGCTCATTTGAAACACTTACCAAGAGGTTTGTGTTCAGCCAACCAGGTGTACAGCAGTGACTCGTGACGCACAGTGTCTAGCGTCGGCACCACAATATCGGGAGACGCGACTTTATGTGTTTCAACTTCAATTTGTGGTACTTTATTAGACCACTGTGACCATTCACCCTCTATGGTGACTTCATAATCGATAATACGCATGTTGTTATCGGGTGGTAGTGGTACGGTCGTAACAGATCTGATGAAATCTCCGAGTTCAGATCTCACTTTCAATTTGGCATCACCAGCAAAACTCCAAAGGACGGAGTATACCAGACATTTAGGAATATATTTCTCCAAAGATTCACTCGATAGTGGAAAATCGGAATGGGAATGGTTGTATAGTAGAACATTTCTAAAACAAAACAAAATACACTATTGTCTTTTGTTTTTGCAGATGAAGGTCAGGTGTGCAGTGCGAAAGTAAAAGAGGGGCCGGCCTAACGAGTTCTTTTTGTTATCGGAACTCATAGAGTAACCGTACGTTCTCTTATTTGCATACCGCACCTGCCAGATGAAATTAGTACTATTCTAAAAATAGTTTTCGAAAAAAAAAAACAATTGACTGTTTTGATGTCAACTAGCTTCTATGTCGTCTTTTATCAAGTACGTTCTGTCAAAGTACAATTTTGACAGAACGGTTTAGATAAAGATAAATCTTTTTCAGGGAATTTAAATTTTACGGATTTTGTTCAACGAATGGTCAGACCAGTCAAAATCGTTTAATAACAAAAGCGTAACAAAAATTTCACATTTGAACAAATATTGAAATTGGTGAGAGGAAATGGTTGAGCTAAATAGGCCAAGCAAATAAAATTTTTACTCGAAAAAATTCCTACCCCCGATATTATTGTAAAATTGTCTAAAGGAACATAATACAAGACATCTCTCATCTCGTGAGTCAAAAAATTTTATTAGCTAACTTTTCTATTTAAACAAGTAAGTGAGGAAAACAGTTTTTTCACTTTGCAGGGAAAACCATCAATTTTTGGTGAAAAGTGACTCACAGACAGTTTGTAGGGAATAAAATTATCTACAAAATGAGACTTGTTAAATTAAAATCGGTTAATAAACAAAAAAGTTATTGCAAAAAACAAAGAAAAGTGCCAATTTTTTAATTTGTTTATAACTATCGCATTTATTGTTAAAATTTTATAAAACCTATGACAAGTTGAG